ACTCATCTACTCCTTGATGTTTGAAAGATATTTTGAACGGTTGGCATGTTGAAAAGGAACAATGGATAAAGCTATTTTCTTCCTAACCATTTTGCACTGAAATGCTCAAAGTCTGGTAGCTCATGGTGATAATCTTAAAGAATGATTATTTATATCAAATAATTCTAAATCCCCTGTATGAATGCAGGAGACATCCCTATGGCCTGAGAGCAATTGTAAAATAAATGGTTCCTCGGTTTCCGCGCAATCCAAATGTCACGAATCCTCGAAGGGGATGCTGTGCAATATTTGTAAAATCAAATGCTGTAAAATGGCCTGAATGGATTTGAGGAGATGCGTGTTTTCTGCCTTGTATGATTCGATATTCCCCTCATTAGCTCTCAATTTTAACTGGGGTGTATTCCATGACGATGCTCCAGGAAGAGTGATCACTTCCCAGTATGTACTAACGGATGGTGATGTTTCAAATGGTATCATTACTTCAATATAATTCAAATATCCCAACTTTTTTTGAAATTATCATAAAAAAGCGATCTACTTTCCTCTCCAAGGTTTGGTGGAATGATGAATGGTGAAAGACAAATAAAGCACGAAAACAAGCAAATGTGGGGGTTTGTCATATTTCACTTCCATGTGACCTGGCTGTGTTGAGGAAGAAACGTGCGACCAAACGCTTTTATTGGCGTAGTAATAATTCAAGTATGAATAGATGTACGCCATTTTCTTTTGGCCCCAAATTAAAACGTGCCAGTGGTTCTCATACTCGCAGGGAAGTTGATCTATATCATAAATTGTAACTGTGTAATGTCACTAACGAATTTACCTGCTTTTCAATTTAGTGCTATGACATTCTCTGTTCCAAAATGACAATGTAATGAATGTGTGTCTTTGAAACGAAACCACTTTGTACTTACAATGTATATTAATGCACACTTGTTCTCGTCACTATATGGCTGGAATAATGCCGATGTGACGTAAAGCCCAACTCAACTCAACTCAACTCTCATGCTCGCTGTCCTATACATGTTTAAGACGGAGACAATATTGTGACCAATATTCAGAAGTATAAGACAAAATATTATGGATGTCAACTTGTTCTTCATTCGCCTGACGAAGTGGCAAGGGAAAGCCCTCAAACGTTGTGTATACAATATAGATGAAGTTGACATCCATAATATTTTGTCTTATACTTGAATATCAACTTCCATGTGCCTCTCAAGAACCCCAATATGTCAGAAGGCTCATGACATCGAGAAAAAGTTCTCTTTTTACAAATTACCACAGAATCTAGGGATAAATGGCAACATGTTCTGATGAATTCATTCAGTTCTTTCCGAAAGTACTACATCAAGTTTGCATTGGGCAAGATTTTTCTGTTTGAATATGACTGAAAAAGCAACGTTATTAGCCCTGTGATTTTCAATATTATGATGAATGACATGTAGATGTAACGCAGTTTGCAGATGGCGGTTCCTTTTGGAGATAGCTTAGAAATTTCTAATTTTGTTTTACTAGAGACAAATATGGGGCTCTGATAGAGATTATGTCATGTACAAATGTAATAAGGTTGTAAATTTGTTGAAATGAGTGGGGTGCTGATACATTTTCTATGTTACTGCTTTATAAAGAGTTGATATAATCAAGGCTTGACTATGGCTGCCTGGTATTTATGTCTGCAAAAAATGTCAGTTTGGATCCCTTTCAGTCAAAGGCTTTGCGAGTATGCCCGATGTCTTTCTAACTATGCCAGTTTCAGGTTCAGTGTTGAGAAAAGCCTCTAGGTCTTCATTGTGAACTTATGTCTCTCAAATATTATCTCAAATTGAAATCGAAAACCAACCATAATTCAGCTAATGATATTGTAAATGACTGTGTTGAATACTGGTCACATGGCTAGGTCCCGTTGGGTTTGAGTATTCAGAAATATGGAGTTTTAGAGTGCAATCCGGTTGCAATAAGATTTAATAAGTCAAAATTAGGCCAAATGCATACATATATGTACCTATGCCTAAGAGGATTCGGCCTAAGTCCGAACGGCTGGGGCATATTGGATTCCAGATATGTTCATCTCAGATGTGTTGAGACTAAATGACCATCCCTGAGTATTGGCTGCTGAACCTCTTCAAGCCCTACGGTGGGTAAATGATTATGATCATGATGCAGTTATATTTACTGAATCCACGGCATCTGTTAAGGTAATTGAATCTGTTACCAATGATTCAAGAAGTGACGTTGTTTATGGAATATTAAAGCTGGATACGTATCTTTCATGTGCTCAAGGTGCCTGTTTCAAAATTGCGACTTCCATTCCAAATTACACCTTGAGAAATATTTGTACAATGTTCTGGATTCGAAAATGGAAAACTAAACTAAATATATCAGATTGTATGGCAGCACGTACCACTATGGAAAACTCCCTGACATGCCCCTGAATCAGTGCATCTCGCACCTGTTGCTCGCAACCGGCCAGTGCGTCCACCGTTCTGATGCACTATTTGCAAACGATAGTTTATTCAGCTCTGCTTGACTTCTTCTGCGAGAGGAGTTTCTGCTGCAGTGACCACACGGTGGGTGTAGGCTTATCATGTGACCGGACTTACCTGTAAACACACGCCCTTATCCTGAAATATGAAAACACTATCCTATGTAAGTTACTTAATATTTTGCAAAATTATCTAACATAACTACAACAACTATGCCACTGACAATATATCGTTACACATCGGAGTGGCCGAGTCGTGAAATTGTTAGCTGGGATAAGGCTGGTGCTGTCCTAGTTTATAAAAACCAACTCTGGAACAAGTGAACTCGCCGTGACCTTTCAGTCCTGACCTGACCTGACCTGACTTGACCTGAACTACATTTGATTTCCTGGTAGACATCCAAGTACACAAACATCAAAGCCATTCAAAGGTTTCACTGGACACCACGCCATACGTTTATTGTACAGTATCTTTGTCTGAGTGACGAAGTGATACCATCTTGGATTACGTCCTATAGTTAGCATCACGCCAATTACGACACACCTCGATACAATATGTGTATGGTTATACCCGGGAATCTATATTACAGTGCATTACGCTATTTGAATTACATCTTTTTAAAACCCCAAAACATAAGGAATGGGGTGACTATTCCAGCCTAGTTCCATGCCTGCCTTTATCTGTAACTATAATAAACCTTCACTGAATGTACGAATGTTAATATATTAAAATCTTATTCAGAAAAAAGTTGATTGCCAATGTTCTACATTAAGTAAATCAACAACAAAAGAAATATTTTGATAACCAATTCACCAAACGTCAGAGTTCCTCTATAAGACACCACCGTGGGCTTTCATTCTGCCTCTCTGAATTTAGGCATATACTGAACATAGCGGGCATATAGCATCTATACGTGTATATACATTCTTCTTTTATGTCAGAGAATGTCAATATACTGTCAATATTTCTCTCAGTATACTGTAATGTGAAAACATCTTACATCTCAGTACAATGTTACACTTGGAAACTCATTTAGATACTATTTGGTGTATTCATACTAGTGCAGCACTTTGTAATGCAATTTTATTTGTGTGGTTCGTCTTTAAAGGTTGTTTAACTAGCTGAAAACAAAGACCCTTTTGCGATAAAAGCTTTCGGGTGTGGATTCAATCAATTGCCCGAGGTGGACCATACTAAATTGTGATGATTTATTCAGGTACTGGGGCCAACGGCCCATTATACAGGTACCGAGCATGATATTGACTGTTTGAAAGGAACTTTGAGGACAAACATGACTAAATTATACATTGACAATTATTGGTATAGGCAAAACAATCTATGCAGGTTTTTCTTTGAAAAAGAAAATACTTTTTTCAATGACAGAAATACGTATTATATTATATTATATTATCAATGAATCTTACGTAAAACGTGAGTGAGGAGGGGCCAGCAAGGAGCTGCAATGCTTTCGATCACGGGTCAACGATAATACATCGAGCAGATATGTTCCTGAATGAAATTCTTATAAAGGTTCGCCCTGCGAAGAAAAGCCGTTTTAGAAATAGCAAATGTATTTCAAAGCATAGCACTAATTGACACTTAACACGAGGATGTTTCCGGGCCAACAGTTTACGACAACTAACTGAGAATGAGGCATTTGAACATCGATTTCGTTAATGGGAAGTTGTTATACATCTGAATAATGAACATGTTCATCTTGAAAGGACAATACGCTACAGCTAGCATAACATACGTTATTCAGTGATACGTTATTGACGCTTACACGATTACTTAATTAACTCGGGAAATTAAAGAGACAAACACAACACGTGTTCAGTGGGGGTAGCCAGTGAGTGAGTTGGGCATATGTCGTTGTTGCAGTCAACTAGCATTATAGTCATAAATTTTCAACTGTTGTGTGGTCACCTTTGTGGGATGTTCTCAGGTGACACGTGACCCGGCTTGAAGCAGCCCCACAGACGGAATGCCAGGAAATACACACTGTAATCAACATCAAGGTTTGGGGCAAGCATCGCCTAACGTGGGGCACAAACCAGAAATTTATCTACTTGCCCGAACTTACTCTCAAGGGTATTGAAGCCAGTACATCCTCATTATCAATATATTTGATCAAGTATATTTTGGTGATAGTACAATGAGAAGTATTTGAACACTAGAAAGAGATGTGCCAATGTGAAATGTGTAACATAAGGAAACATCTACACTATTTACATATTAAACATTGATATAATGCAGCCGAATATATAAACATGAAATAGAAACATAAACTATTGGACACTTAACCCATTTCCACTTTACCAGTGAATAAATGCGTGAATTATCGAAAATACCTTGTTTCAAAATAGCGTAAACACAGAATAGTTTTGAATGTAACCATACAGTGTTATTTAGTAACCTACATGGCGTGCACGAATTAATTCATAACTATATATTTACATTAAATGTAATTATCTGCTCTTTGCGGAATGCTTCGCTGCCTTTGTATCATCAATATAACGGTTGCGATTTGCCTTACGAAAAGATAGTTGTAAAATGTATCATTCTAAAAATGAAGTGCTTTTCGCCAATGGGCGAACTATCTTTTTAAACAGCTGAATAAGTTGAATTATGGGTCCTCATACTGGTTGACATAATTTCATTTATTTGCAAACTAAAAACATGAGATTTAAGCAAATGGGAATATATATTACATTGGCCTGCCCACTTTGTTTCCGAAAAGCATTATTTTTTTAATTCTCATGATGTATCCATAAAAATAATGTTGAATTTTGTAAAATCCTTTGTAAGAAATGACCACTGCGATGAGTTTTGGACAAAAGGGTTTCGTGAATTGTGATGTGTTCCTGTCAAGATCACCCATCATATGTAGCCATGCCAACAGTTATTAATATAAATATGCAAAAGTAAAAACTATTCGAAGACGCTTTTGCATGCAACTGACGTTACAGTATATGTATAGGAAGAAAAAATTGTTAATCGCTTTGCTTTGGTCGATATGCTCAATGATATGTGTAGCTTTTTCTGTCATCGTGAATTCTTTATTCAAAGAATCTCTTACACTGTGATCAATCTTAAATGGTAGTGTAGGGCGAATGAATGAAAGATTAATGCACAGCATGTCTGTTTGTGATACATCAGTATAATAATCATTGACTTCAGAGCTTCGTAGGTGTGTTACGTTATATCATTCTGACATGTGTACCCTGCAATGGCCATGTGTTGCCTTGCATTTGCGGTACGTTTTCTCTTATTCGGATTAAACTCTTCAACAAAAATGTGCACGAAAGATAGTAACTTTCCTTTCCTTCATCATGGTGTGAAACTCCCTGGGAAGGACATCGTCAATGTTACGGCGGAGGGCTTGGTTACGTGTGCGCGTACATGTTTGACTAGTGATATGTGCAAGTCTTTCAACTTTGACACCAACATCGGGCAGTGTGAGCTGAACTATGCCACGCTCACACCTGAAGGACTGAATGTCACTCATCTAATAGCTGCCGCTGATTTTGTCTTCACGGACATCACTCACTGGCCACAGGTAATACTTTTAAATACATGGTTAATGGTGAATATGTTCAATCAAATTCATCATCGGCTAAAATCGGCTTAAACCAAAACTTGAGAGACACTATTGACTGTAGATTCAAGTTTTACGTGGCTTAACATGATCAAAATTAACATGGGGCACATAAAGGTAAAATACTGCCAGATGTGTCACTTAATTTTGATCGAATGTATTTATTTTGTAGAAACTAGGCGCATGTGCAAATCATCAATGTGGATTTTTCAATGCATACTGTCAACCTCTGGATGCCAATGAATACGTTTGCAGTCAGTATGGTAAGTTAACCTTCAAAGATACCAATGAATAAGACTTTAAAACTGTCAAATGGGCAAGTATACGTAAGGAAGTTACATATCCCTGAAGAAACGGCAACATCCACGAGATTTGAGCACAAATCAGTTGAGGAGAATATTATGTTCAACATATTGTTGAATTGGCGGTATTTAACAAATCTCCCAGTGCTAACGAGGGGTAATGTTGGTGAATTGATCTTCAAATATTTTCTTCTGTGATGTTAAATTTCAATCAGTGCATGTGCAATGTAGGCCTTTTTAAGTTTTAGTTGATCGTGAACATGCCTGTTACTCATCTGTGAAGGACTTACAGGGTTGATCTGCTGTTAGACCAGCTCATATGCAGTGTAGAAAATTGATCTGATGGGTGCGGATGTTCCAGGATCAATCATGCATGTTTGCTCCTCAGCAGGTATACCAACATCCTGTGCAGAAATTAAGGAATGTGACCTCTCCAGTACAGATGCAGAATACTGGCTTCGCCCCGAACTTTGACCTGTACAGAACCCGGATCTACCGTCACAACATGACCACAGACAATCCATAAGGGTACCTGACTCTGCCCACTCCCAGCCATGGAGTGTTTCCAAATGTCTTTAATCAGCATTGTAATGGGGAACGCCCTCTGGTAGGAAAATGTGTTGGCAAATCAGGAGAAGCATGGCACTACAACATCAGAGTCTTATCGAGGTTTGTGTTTTTTTCTGGTTTCGTTTTCTTTTCCTTTTTATTATCCCGTCTGGCCAATGTCTTATGCATGTCGTAAGGGACGGGAAAGGATGTTTTTTAGGTATAGCGCATTTTGGTAATAAAACAAAAAATTACCAAATAGCGTTACCTATGCTCGACATCACACTTAACGATAGGTTGAGTTTCACATAGTTAAATACAAACACCGTTTTGCAAATAACATAGTCTAAGACAACGCAATGTATTCATGTTGAATGTGGAATTGAAACGGCTGTGTGTACAGAAATGACCAATTTCGAAAAAGTCTGTAATTCTTCCATTCTCTTCACCATCAGAGGACGATGCATACATTACTGAATATGCCACACAAATGTGATATTCTGAGTATAAATTGATACCGTTGAGGATTTCAGTCATGTTGGCGACCATCTTAGATTTTCTACAACAATGGGCAATCGGATATATCAATACTCAAAGACACCAACAAGCGAATGTCGTTACTACAAGGAAAGACAAATGTTTCAAGGTTTGGTAATAATAATTAGTCCAAATTCCAAATGAGCCACAGCACACGAGGGAGTTCACAAGCAAGTTCACACGGTCAGTAGCAGGTGTGTCCACTTTGTGCATTGATGCAGGCCTGGCACCTGCGTCTTATTGAGGCCACTAAAGGTCAGTTGAAGCCCTGGGGGAGGATTCGGATGACGTCGTAAACATCGCCCAATTTCATCCTAAGCGTGTTTATGGGTAACAGATCAGGGGATCTTGCGAGCCAGGGTAACACATTAACATTGTTCTGATTGAGATACTGTTGTACAGTTGGAACTGTTCTACCGTCAGCTCGGTAAAGAAGGAAAAAAACGTGACTGGTCGATGTTACAAACTCTTCTCCACCCATATCGCCCCTCCGCATGTGTTGTCTGCTCCACTAGAGAAGTCGATGTTCTGTTGCTAGCGACTTTGAATACAGTACAATTGTGCTACTGACAGCTCCATTTAGGTCGTCAGTTTATGAACAATAGTTCGTCCTCTTCACGCGTGATGTTATGACCCAATGTGTGACACAGCTGGTGTTCATTAAGTGATATCTCGAACTGACGAATAATACAGGTTGATATCAAACATTTAAATATCATAGTTATTTCATTCTAAAATAGAACCTGGAAATCAGATTTATATGCATGTACAAAAATTCCCCCCAAAATATTTGAGTAGACGAGGCCCACCTCAATGTTTATGCTTTAATCATGTGTTCACTTAATGCCCTTTTACTCTATTGGAGATGCTATTTCAGATGTCACAGAATCGTCAGCAAAAGAAGGGACGTGTTTCCTGTGATCAACAAACATGTACCAGTGACATGGAAATGTATTAATGATGGCAGACGGTCTTTGTATTGAGTGATCACAAGTCGCACAGTAGTTCTCACCATTTAACTAATTTCACAATGTACATCAAGTACTTGTCTGTGTGATTTGGTTTGGCAGACAAAGTGGTTACACAATTAACAATGTGTGAACTGTGAAGTAAGGTAACGGCTAAAATTATATCCTTCATACGCCCATACAATCACACCACAAAAGCATTTTACATTAGGTGTGGTCGTCAGAGGAAGGAACTTAGGTGGGATGAGAACGGTGAGTACATTCTGAGAAATGGACTTGTTTTATCACGCTTGATTCCAAGGCATCATTTCCCGTGAAGCAAACAAGGCCCATTTTGTTGATCGATATGCAAGTTTGAAAAAAACTTTAAACCAATGACTGAAACATTCAAAGCAGAGACACCCTGGTGCGCATATCAAGCTACAACTAGCGAAGGGTGTGTTGTTTCACAAAGACCCTTTGATACCGTTGACAGAACCAGTTCATGGTTTAAAATGATAAAGTCAATTCTTACTAGTAAATGTTTTAACGTTATCTATAATATGTAATAAAGATAAAATGTTTACATCTCTGGCGTCTTACCCGGCAACATAGGGGTTAGACAAGGTAAAAGTTTATCTCCTTTTTTTATTTGCTTTATCAATATATATAAATATATACACGATCTTGAAGATTTCATATTGGAGAAAAATAGAACTTGTTTAAATGTTTTAAAAGATGAATTTTAATATATTCTTCATTTAAAGCAATCAACACCTGATTATATGGTGTATTGGTAACTTAGGCGGTACGCACTTGAAACTTAAGTGAAAGGTAGAATGATTGTATGCCTGTGTAAAACCATATTGTCCCATGAAAAGCTGTCTGGTAAACTGTATTTTGTCACCCTATGTCCTGTATAATTATCCTCCGTTGATGACGGATGATGTATGAAATGAGTGTCAATTGGGTTTGGGATTCACAGTTGTTCCCTAGCATTTTACGTTGGACCTTCGGAAATGGAGTGAAACGGCAAAGGAATCACCCAACAGGCTACATATTACTAACAAAGGTAAATATTATACAATGTTTAAGAACAATCCCTGTATTTACGAATATTTGTTACAGTTGCTATATAATTTACCGATGGATTGTAAACCTAAGGATATCAAGCCACATAGATTACCAACAGAAAATCGTAGGTGGCGAAATATTGAAACATCACGAAGAAATTGTACTTTATGCAATACTTGTATTTTAGATGAATGTAATTTTCTACTTCACTGACCATCTTTAAAAACGCTAAGAGTAATATATCTTCCTAACTGTTCCCTAATGGATTGTTCTTATGTGCCCTTACTGACTAGAATTGCCAGATGTATAGAAACTGGCCTAGTAATAAATGTTGCATTAGAAACATTACGATTCCATGTTAACTTTAGCAAATTCATATATGTATGCTCCATATCACTGTAAGTGATCTTCGAGAATAAAACAACTGTTCTGTTCTTTTCTGTTCTGTACCAGGAGCATTCAATTGTGCACACTTCCGTTGTCGCCAGGTCGGTGGCTTTGAACATATTTAACATTCCCACCTAATTCATCAGCTTAATTATTAATCAGACAATAATTAATCTTATGACAATTGCAGAAATAACTATCTGGAAAACTTAATGCAATCGATAATCATTTTCACTGCAGACGATTTATACTACCAAGAGGAAGCTTTCTACACCGGTGGGATCTAGTTTTTTCTATCAGCGTCAGCAGAAATGTGTAGACGTCAGATGGGAATATGTTGATAATAGAAAAAAAATCAACTCTATAAAGGCATTTCATTACACTTAGGTCCCGAACTGTTTAGAACCCTTTGTACCCGGAGAATTAATTCTACGAAGGTTCCGGTACACTCTATAGAACCCATAATATTATCAAATGATAAACTCAAAGCAAAACTCTTTGAACCCCGAAATGAAATGAAATGGAAAATAAAGTAGTGTTCAGAAAGGTACATCGTATTAATGAGTGCTACCTTGTTGGTTTTGTTGTATTGTCTTCGTAAATAAAATAGTTTTAGATTTCCATGCTAGTTTTAGACATCATCTGTGATACTCTAGTTATTTTACAGTCCTTCGATGACTGATTATTTAACAACTTATATTTATTGTGTATACAAAACCTACTCTCGTCACTATATGGCAGAAATATTGCCGAGGTGACGTTAAATTTTAACTCACTCACTCACTATTAATGAGTGTCAAAGGAAATTTCGCAGTTTCGTGTTTTGAAAGTGCCTCGAGAGACTTCTCGTACAGAATATACGTCTGGACGATATTGTACACTACTATATATGAATGATTCTTATCAACAGCGTGGTTTCGGTTAGATATTTTTCTATTCAGTAGTGTTAGCCCTGAGGCCTTTGGCACAATTACTGTTGTATGTAGTTGTGGTGCTAGTGACATATTAATGACATGGGATTCATTTTTCGGATAAAAAAGCTATTGATTTTACAATATCTGTATTGCCTGAATTTAGAATACCTGTTCATCTAATGCAGTTTTTGATAGACGTGAGAAATAGCAAGTATCGGTTCCATTCTTTTGATAACATATTCACGACATGGACATACCTTCATGACGATTTAAAGAGTAAAATTAAAGCAAAACGTCTTGTGGGAACTAAAAGATTCAGGAATACAGCACCCATCTAAGCGTAACTCCAGAGTGTAATGTTCGTAAATGGTCTCCATGAACAACACGTACATCTACTATTGATGTTATCTTGATGGATTCATCATATTTTATTTATAGCTTTGGTATAGATTCCCTTTGTTGGATTGGAATATATTCCCTAAGTCACACACAGAGCTGGACTCTGTGTGGATTTGAAATATACATACACAAACGGCATAAAGTTTGTGTTCCAGTGTTGGTAGGGAACTATAGAATGGTCATGGTTTTATGTTTGATAGTTTACAGGACTCAGGCGCAATATCAGACAATAAAGAACCACCTACTTATGTAAGCGGTGTCAGAGAAGCACATCACAGTTAGATACCCACCAGAACATTCGGATCCAGCACTTCCGCTGTAATCTGACACGGAGACGTGAGCAGTGACAGCTGAGAACTGGAATATCCTTGGGCGCTGATGCTCGATAGACAATGTCAATCAAGTAAAACGTGGGGCTCGATAAGAACGTTCTCTCGCCATAAATTAAATGGTAATTAACGACACTCTTTGGTCGAAACATTAAGCGTCTTTCCGCAAAGACGGAATCTTTCTTCTATTGATTACCTTGTCCTGGCCTACTGTATGTGTCTTGGAGTGAGTGAGTTGGGGTTTACGCCGCTTTTAGCAATATTCCAGCAGTATCACGGCGGGGGGACACCAGAAATGTAAATTTCTGAAAACATAAATATGAAGGAAATGATTTTATTCACCCGGGTGAAATACAAAAGCCCCGGACTTTGCTGACAGCACACGGCAAAAAACAACAGTTTATTGATCATTTGTTAAAATACCTAGGTCAGACCATTTCCCCATGCAAAACAACCCACTGGAATATTCTCATGTCTCCCTGTTTCGATTCCAAGTGTAGCAACTCCACACATGAAGCACTCCTTTATGCTCTTGGTAACGGGGTTTGAACAGAGTGTCCTGTGGAGTAGGATTCTTAAATGCTCTAAATGATCTGAGTTTGTTTCCTCCCGAACCGCCTCCCGTCTGCAATTTCCTATCCCAATCTGACATATTCGCTCACCTTCATCAAGGTAAGGAGAAGCATGAGTGGTTTTAAAAGATTGGATTTAATGTCAAGGTGAGTGACATAAGTAGTATGTAATTAGGTTTACCTTATGCGGATTGAGACTGCACCTTAAAGATCATATTTAATTCCTCAATACTCATTCATGAATACCGAAGTTACCCAATAAAGGACCTTTACCTTCCATGTTATTCATAAATGTGATTATTGGAGGCATTTTGTGTATTAACGGCTCTTAATTTGTTATTAGCACTTACTTCAGAAAACCAGTTGTCGGTGGAGCAAACATTAGTGCAAACATCAAACCAGGCTCACTCACAGAAGAATTTACTGTCGGGATGACAAAAGGTAGAAAAATGCTCTTTTGCTGTAACGAGTGAGTGTGTTTAGTTTCACGCCGCACTCAGGAATATTCCAGCTGTATTGTGGGCGGTCTGTAAATAATCGAGTCTGGACCAGACACTCCAGTGATCAACAGCATGAGCATCGATCTACGAAGTCAGCGAGCCTGACCACCCGATCCCGTTAGTCGCCTCTTACGACAAGCATAGGATATTGAAGATCAAGGGCGACACTGGGACTTGAACCCAGACTCCATTATCAACCGCCAAAAAAATTACTATGAAGGGCTAATGAAGTCAAGTAATACATCTATATGGCATATATTCTACAAACATAAAACAATATCCTTTCATTGTTTATAAAGGGTTCGAGGGGTGGACATGGTTGACCTTCATGAAACAGTCTTTAGTTGTATTATGTAAATAAATAGAAAGTTTTGGAAAACGTGTTAATATTTATGCTAATGTTGATAATCTTTACGCATCAATGTTTGCTGATGATGTGTAAGGAGTTGCAGATACTGCACTTCAGTTGCAGAAGTTGCTAAATGCTAAATCCTTCGAAGGTAAACAAATTGAGGTTGTGCCATTTTATAGGTATCGTGGTATAGGTTTGATTCCTAGGCTATTATGGACAAATCCCCAATACTGTCTGCTCTCACAAGGTAATAAAACACTTTTGTCTGTGTATTCGTTTCAATTTGTCAGCTCAGGATCTTTTCAAGCTGTTCTGCCTATTCCGTGTTGTGGATCTGAGGTCTAGGCAACATCATATTGTAAAATTATTGAAGGTCTTCAGATTAAGATTTGTAGACAGTACCTCAGAGTTAGTAGAAATGTAAGTAGAAGTATTGTTCTAGGGGAATGTGGCAGGCTTCCATCACAGTTTTATTATATGTCTAGAACGGTTAAATATTGGTGTAGGTTAATTCATTTAGAATCACACAGACTCCCATTTCAGAGTTATAATATGTTGAAATCTGGTAGAATTCGGGTAGGGCGACATGGGCTACAAATAAAAGATATGTTATTTACATTTTGGTTTGGGGTTTGTTTGGTTTTCTCAGGATGTTAGTGATAGCAAGGTATTTATGCAGCTGTTTAAACTTCTGCTTTCTGATAGTCTCAAACAATCATGGTCTGCAACTATTCATAACATTTCAGATTCATTTGCTTAAAAGCATTTTAAATCATTACTGCATGTAGAAGGCTAACTATCATTATATATTTAAATATTCGTTAGCAAATTTCAGATGCAGCAGTTTTGGGTGAGGCATAGAGGTAGGAAGGTATAATAACATATCAATGGCTGACATTGTTTTACGGTAAACTAGATAATATTAACTGTATTGAAGAGGAAATACATGCCCTCTTTGATTGTTATATAATGAGGCTAGAAATAAGTTTATTACTCCATTTTTGTATAATACTGTCAGCAAACAAAAACTTTATACACATCCTTAACAGGAAAGATAGAAATAGTATCATAAATGTTTGTAATTTAAACAAATGTATATATAAAACGACAGCTGCAATTGTTTAAGCATAAACCTGTCACCTCTATGTGCGTTTGTTTCAATTTTGTAATTTATTTGTATTGTGGGTCTTTGGTTGTTTTACTGAATAAAATGTCTGTCTGTCTGTCTATATGAAACAATAATACCTTCAAGGCTTGACTATGACTGCCAGGTATTTATGTCTGCCTCAAAATGTCATCTTTCCAAACTTTATCGGATTCAGTTAAAGGCTTTGCAATGTGCACGCATGTCTTTGTAACTCTCCCGGCTGAGGTGAAGTGAAATGGGGTTTAACGACGTTCTTACGAAAAGTTCGCTCATGTGATGACGTGCATGCATTTGTATGAGTGGCTGCATGTACTAGCCCAGACTTGGGCTGGTTTCATAGTGCTAGCTCAGTGAGATACCATGCCGCAGTTAAGCATGAATACCCCACTCAGACACATTATACTGAGACCGAGCCGACCAGTCCTTGATGTACCAATTATGCCGAGCACCTCAAAGGATTCATCCTTTGTTCGAACTTCTAGGGCATATTCACTGTACCTAAGGTGTTGCTGGTAACGCACGTTACGTTACGTGCATCCCAACATGGCGGCAGGTAAGATCGCTTGGCGATTATTCCCCACGAATTAGCAGTCTTCCACGTGTATACAAGCAACATTATTTAGCACACTGATAAACTTTGATGGTGTGAGTCTTCCACGTGTATACAAGCAACATTATTTAGCACACTGATACACTTTGATGGTGTGAATACATTGAATGCACTGAATTTGCTTGTTAATGTCTATGTGTTGAAGAATAGGCATTTTTAAAGTCGCAAGAGGATGTCGGTAACGCAAAGTCTGGTTGTTGGTAACGTGCACTGAATGATGCTGGTAACTCATACTGCCCTGCTTTAGTCGGTAAACAGAAATTGTCGATTTATGATTAATGTTCACAGATGTTTACTGCTGCTATATTAACAGCATGAGCGACTTTTTCTGTGGCGTGTCATTGAACTTGAACGGATTTACATGTGTGTGCCCATTGTTCATTACGCTGAGAGCTTTTTCTCTGTCCCTCCTCAATTCGGACATTTGACATGTTGATTTCGTTGCAATGTTGACGTTTAAAGTACATTTTACATCGAGCATTTATTGGGTAGGGCTGAATATATAAAGCTATATAGTCTGTCAACCCAACTTTAGGGACTGCATATTTTGCAAATATTTTTTTTGTTATTCGTTTCAGTGTAATTTTAAGTGTTTACATGTACCTCCATGTTTTTCCGTGACCTCAGGAACCTATCATTAATATCACGGGTGCTCCTGTGGGGGTACGTAAGTCCCCAAACAATTCAATTAAATTTAAGCTTACTATGATTTTTAACTGCGGTATATGTGTTATTTTAATGTTATGGCTAGATTGTAAAAAATTGCTGACAGCTGAAG